GCCTATTTTTTTTCTGTGACAAAAAGTGCCAAGAACTTGGTTTGTGTGCTAATGTACTATTGAGTGATGGGTCAAGTCTTCTTCTGACTATGCACTAGAAGGCAGTTATTAAAGCAGATCTCCTAAGGACTTCTCCAAATATTTAGAAGGAAGATACCAGTCAGGGAAATTTTGTAGAAAGTGAAGCTTTGGGAATTCTTTCATTATCTTAAATATGGATGTGGTTTCTCAGCTAGAGGTGATTTTTCTTTCCTGGCAGAAGACATTTGGCAATATTAGAGGACATATTGACAGACATAACCAGGAAGATGCATACTACTCTCAACTAGTGAGCAAAGGCAAAGGATATGTTGAAAACCTGTCACTGTATAGGAAAGTTGTCACAACAGGCATGTGATCTAGTGTCAATAGTGCTGGAGTTGGGAATCCCTGGTCTTACAGTAACAACTCATTCTATCGGGTGACTTTTACAGAAGAATACAATAATTACTGTATGTGTAAAGTGTTACATGGTCTGCCAATCCAGATGGATGTATATTTATCAATAGTTTCTAAATTAGAAATTACTTAGAACTGCACTTTACTTTTCTGAAAATAAAAAAAAAACTATTAACAGTCAATAATTTTTATGTAGTGCTAAAATATCAGTAACTGTAAACATTTGAGTATGTTTTGTTTTGTTCTGTTGCTATTGTTGTTGTTTAAATTTTTTTTTGAAACTATACAACCCTGGTTGGCCTGGAACTTGCTATAAAGACTAGGCTGGCTTCCAACTCACAAAGATCTGTCTTTCTCTGCCTAATGACTGCACCACCATGCTTGTCTTACTTTTTTTTTTTTATGTGGTATCTGGCTAATTAATCCCTTTTTACCTATCCTCTTATTTAATTTACAATAATACTTGGAAGGAAATTCTATTAGTATCCTCATGCTGCTGGTCAGAACACATGAAAAGGTGTTCACAGAGAGCAGAAGTCTTCAAGTGATTCCCATCCAGACTTTGCTTCCAGTTGGGCACACAGTATCAGAAAATCCTTTAACTTGCCAATTCTCAATTTCTTCCCCTACCATGCAAGGACAGTGATAATGGACATCTGTCAGACAAAATAAATGGTGGGGACATGATCTTCAAATACTAATTCCTACACAAAAGGGAGTCCCTTGATCTTCCTGCACATGGAGGACAAGAGGCAGTTTCAGTCATGCTGGCAGGGACAGTCATGATATAGACCTGATAAACAACTCTTCCCGCTTTTTTGTGGTGCTTGATATCAAACCCAGCCTTGGTTCTTATAGTCTTTTGATACAAGAAAATAGAATTTATAGAATATGGTTAGAGTTTAAAAACATTACTTTTATGGCACATTACCATCTGAAACCTGTTTTCTTTATAAGGTCCACGAAAGCAAAGGTAGGAAATTCAGGCTTCATAGTAAAGGCACTTAAGACTCCAGTGTTAAGTTCCCTGTGTCCTTACCAGCATCATTGTGAGAGTCAAATGCTTTTCAACTTTCCATTTGAACAGGCTGATGCTGTAAGTTGTATTCTTCAGTGCAAACCATTAAAATGTTCTCTATTACTGAGAAAAATCTGGTGAAATTACTATTGAAGGAAATATTAAAAATAATTAAAAAGTATTCTACTATTTGGATATATGGTAACATCTGACTATTAACATTGCAGTGGTAGTTGAGCTGTTATTGAGGTTTCATGTCTAGTCTTATATGTGTGTACATATATATTTATATACCAATATGTTGATAATTTAACATTGTCTTACACTTTCTTTTTGCTGCAAACTGCATGAGGCTTTATTGTAATTTAACGAGCTAACCCCATGTTAGCTCGGGTCTTTTGTCCCCCCACCATGGTGGTTGGCTACAAATTGTCTTACACTTTTAAATAACTTCATGACATTACATTCTATCATGATAATGTTCTTACTGCTGTGAATAGTGTTGCCATAGTTGATAAATAAATAAATAAATAAATAAATAAATAATACCCCTTCCTCTATGTGGGGCACCAGGCATTCATATATTCATATTCTCTCTCTCTCCCTCTCTCTCTCTCTCTCTCTCTCTCTCTCTCTCTCTCTCTCTCTCTGTCTCCCTGTCTCTCTGTCTCCCCCTCCTTCCCTCCCTCTCTCTCCCTCTCTTTGGCTCTGTCTCCCCCCACCCCAAGGCTGGCTGGCAAACATCATCTTTGTAAACTTGGGATTCTTTTCTAAAAATTGCTATACTATCCGGTTACTCAATGTCTTTTCCCCCCCTTACCTCTGGCCCATCCATTACCAAGCAGCACCACTGGTAAAATGTGATGTTTTTCACTACCCCCCAGACTTCTCTTAGATTCTTCTCTACTCTCACTGTTTCTGTTTGTTCGGTTTGTTGGAGTTAGTCTCAGTTACCACTGCTCCTTTTGAATATAGTAAAGGACATCTGAGCATAGATTGTTTGCTTCTACAGTGAACAGTTCCACTTGGTGATTTCCTGACTATGTCTCTCTGTGTGATATTTACAGACAGGTTCAAACTAACTTTTCTGGGTATCAATCTAATTAAAAAAGCATTTTTATTGAAATGATATTAACTTGCTGTTCATGGCACCTTCATACAAACATGCTGCTACTGTTTGCTATCAGCCATTTCTCTCCATCAAACATTTTAATACCTGTTTTCTTGTTACTAACAGAAATGGAAGCCCATCTTTAGTAAAAAAAAAAATCTGTTTTGTAAAACAATTTACTTATTAGTATTTTGAGGTAGAGGGTTAATGAGCCACGGGGGGCAGGGGCAGGTCAGAGGACACTTTTGAGGTAGTAGTTCTCTCCTTCCACCTTTATGTGGGTTCTGGGGATTGAACAAAGCTTGCATGCAAGTGTCTCTACCCACAGAACCAGTTGTCAGCCCCAAGATGGTGTTATATTTAAAATGAAATGCAAATTGTAAAATCACAAGGCTATTGTTCAATAAAAACTTCCTAATTACTTCCCCTAGTCTTTCTTCTCATTATTTTACATGTACAATTTACTCTCTCATTTTTAATATGTGAGCTATGTGTGTGGAGGGGTGTGTGTGTAGGTGCATGCATGTAGATGTGCTTGTGCAAATGCATGTGTGTATGTATTGGTGTGTGTGTGTGTGTGTGTCTGTCTGTCTGTCTGTCTGTCTGTCTGTGTGAGCACACATGTGTGCATGAGTGTGAGGTCTGCTTCTTTTAGCCACAAGTCCTGTAAAATTAGCATTTCTCCTTTGAGGCCAAATCTCCTGATTCTCCATCTGAAAATGATTTGCGTACTGACCACATGATCTTTATAACCAAGTTTAGCTTGTGCCAACTGGGGGTAGTATGTAATCAACTAACTATGTTAGCTCTTCTCAACTTATAAAAGGGTTTACACTGTGACGCACAGAGCATGCTCTAAAATTAACAGCAGGAGACTAAGATTTGGCTTTCACTATCTAAACCACTTCTAAAAAATAAATAAAAATGATTTAATATTTTATAATCATGTAGAGAATGACAACTAATAAGCAGTTCTTGGGGCCCCTCTCCAAGGAGCTAGAATCAGATAACAAGGCATGGGGGTTGAATGGAGCACAACACCTAGCTAACAGTGCTCAAATCAAGCCTTGCAGCTTCTCACACTTCTTTTAAACCAGTGCATAAGTGTTAGGAATATCAAAAACGTAGTATATGAAGGGGCTTTGGAATTATAAGATGTCAGCCAGAAATGCAAGTTAGTTCTATTACTGGTGTCTATTAGCAGAAATGCTATCCCATTTGGAACTCTCCAGGTCATCCTTTAACAGTTACCTGTGGAGGGTGGACAAGCAGGACAGTTTTACAGGTTTCATTCTGCTCTATTCCCCAAATAGCTCCCCTTTGAGGATTCATTATATTACACTATAATATTTATCCTAAATGATGCTGTTCATTTATGATATAATTTATATTTACTAGTGTAAATATAAAATACATTTATCTTTATTAATTTATGCTATAAGTAGGTTCACAATGTATTTTTCTTGTCCTTTTACTATAAACTTCCACTTTGAGTACCTTGTTCAAGAAGACATATTTGAATTTTTCAGATTATAAAGAACTATTGTGAAATTACATGAACATACTCACAATGTCACAGAACAGAATATGACAATACACCCAGTATTAGAGAACATATAATGTCTAACTATGCACCTTGAATACTTTATTACTAGAGATATCTGAGAGGAACTCAGACATCTGGAAGAGATAAGCTGAATATTAAAATGTATGAATACTTACACATACAGACATTGTGTGATTATATAGTAGTTTATAGTCAGGATTGAGTAAAGTTATAAATTATGCATTTCAAGAGAAATGCAGTTTATCATTTCAATGTACATAATAAACCTTATTCCAAATTTTATGTCTTTTATCAAATCTATTGAAAAGATCAAGATGGTGTATTTTTTGTATGTAAACTGATTTTAATGATGGATAAAATGCATCTATCTTTACACTAAAACATCCTCCATGAATGCTTGGATGGCTGTTTTTCCACATTTCCACATTTTTCTTACATAATGAAAATGTTATATCAATCCAGCCCACAAGAGCCGGCTGAAAAGTTCATAAACATTTTTAAAGAACTAACCTTTTTTTATAAAGAAGGTAAAATTTAACCCTGGTAATAAGGCTAACATTTAATATATTTGTTTAGTTTATGGTTACATAGACACTTAATTTTGTGTGCATTGTTTATCTTTGCACAAAAGAGAAAGCAGTGTGTGGGGTGGGATGTTGGTTGGGAGGCATTATGCTTTTCTATCAAGTCTTTCTTACTGATCATAGTACAGGATTCAATTAGCAAGAGCCACTTGAAGAAGGTGTTCACCATCTCTCAGTATCACAAATTTTGAAGAGAACATTCAACGTAAAATAACTGGAACTTCGATTTGCACCCCTGGTCTTTTGGCTTCAAATAAAACAAATGCTCTCAGTGATCCTTACCTGCAGTGCACGACCATTGGCCCTGCATCAGGAGGGTTACAGGTTTTGACTCTTCGTAAGAAAGCTAGGAATGGCGTGGGGTGCTCTGGAACACCATGATCAGGCCAGGCGGTGAACTGGAATTGTCTCACTTCCCTCTTCTCACTTGAACCATTCTGTGACACAGGAATACTGGCTCAGATGCTGCTTTCTAACATTAGTGGGTAAAGATGAGTACCACTAAAACATGTTGCCTCAATTCTTTCCTCTTAAGGTATAGTCTTTGAGGACACACTACCTGGAGACCCAAGCCCTGAGCTGTTCCCTAAATGACCAGTATTTGCTCAGGCAGGTAAGATTTTCATGTGAGAAGCACTCTGATGTCTGGCTGCAACCATCAGAAGTGTTCTTGTATGTTCATAGGAAGAATTAGTTCTTCCATTTGGGGGAAACTTTCTTCAGAGGAAACTTTCTTCTTTAATAGTTACTGATAAAATACTAGTCTAGAGCTGGGCGATGGTGGCACACGCCTTTAATCCCAGCACTTGGGAGGCAGAGGCAGGCAGATCTCTGTGTGTTCGAGACCAGCCTGGTCTACAAGAGCTAGTTCCGACAGCCTCCAAAGCCACAGAGAAACCCTGTCTCGAAAAACAAAAACAAAAACAAAAAAACAAAACAAAACAACAACAACAAACACTAGTCCAGGAGAAAAAAAACGACTGGATGATAATTCAAGAATGATTTTATTCTCTGTTGGCAGTGGGACAAAGATTTAGGTAAAGGCTTAAGGGATTTGGTTTCTTTAAATAATGGGAGGAACAGGGCAGGAGAACAAAGACAAAGGACAAACCTTATAGAGTGCAAAGGTCCTGACACAGTACGTGGCAAGCTCCACAGTATCCAACAGCGTCACCTGGACCAGCCCATGAGTTTCAGTGCCTCTGGTGGGCCAATACTGGTCACACTTCACCTGGAGAAAGAAGTGACACATTCAGGCCAGATGCTCATCAACTGTTCTCTTAGCTTCCCTTTGAGTTGTTGTTGACGGAAAACAGCTTTTTTGCATTTCATTTTATGTTGATTTTTTTTCTGGCATGCATTTCTGTTATCCCAAAATATGTAAATTACTGCTCTGATGCCAATATAAACCACATTTTAAAAACTGGTAGGGATATTAAGCAGTAACAGATTCAATTTTCTGGGAGAAAAATAAGTTGCAGATTGTTGTTGAATAAAATAAAGCAAGAGATATTTGAAATTTTAGAGTACTTGGGGAAAACACATTTATTATTGAGTTGACACTATGATTCACATCAGAAAGATTATAGTTAGACATTTAAACTACATGGCTAGATTGAGTTCATCTATCAAGATTTTAAAGGCACACACTATTCCACAATGAACTCTCACAATTTACACATATGCTTGTTTAAAGAAAACTAGAAATAATTTGAAAAATCTATCAAAGTGTAATACACAACATAATAAGTGTTATTTAAAATACAAGATAAATGGTATTTGTATGCAAAGCAAATGAAAACTGTAGCATCTATGGGGGAAATCTATCTGCTTCTTAAGTATGGTTTTGGAGGGTCATTATAGCAGTGTGGTTTAAGCAGTACAATTCATTCAAGATAAATGACCCTCTATTTCGCTGTGAAGTGGAACAAGCCAAGGAAGAACTACTCAACCCAATTAGTTCAGATGTGACAAAGAATTATTTCAACTCTGCAGTAAGACTCAGATTTACTGCGTGTGTTCATTGTGCAGCAAAAAGCACAATAAAAATGACAAAGGCATTACATTTACTAGTGAGGTCATAAGTCAGAAAATATTTACCCATTCTGACACAGAGAAAAGAAAAGCGGAAGTGTTAATTCTTAGTAACCAAATAAAATACATCTCTGAAGGTGAAGGAGGAATACTGGTGCCTGTTAGAAGCATGGCCTTTATTTGAAAAGGGTAGAATAGAAAGTGTGGTTTTTGATCTACACAAAGGCAACTGGCATTGTTCTCATTGATGCTAGAAGATTTTGGTCTATTGAACAGAATTATTAGATAATTATTTGCTTGCCAGCTTAACGAAATACTAGCAATAGTCTGTAAATGACACTGTAGTTGAGTTTGCATTGGGGCTATGTCCTCTGGCACTCAGGCTGTTTCTTCATAGATATTAGTCTTCCTAAAAAGGGACAGTTGTCTTCCAATAGATGATTTCATTGACAAGATAAAGGAGGAGGACACTTTATTCTGTATTTATCTATTAAGGATGCAGAAATTGAATTCATAAAGTCAATTCCACTACCTTTCTCTCAACCATGGAGCCACAAAAAAATCACCTCTTTGACTAAACAACCAAAAAAAAAAGGGTTCCAATTCAGATCAAAATAAGTGGCAATATTATTAAAATAGTTTATATATTTTCTACGTTCACAGAATAATCTGGTGTTTTTATTTCTATCATAGGACGCAACACAAAGGAAAAGCATAAAAATGTTAGTTCTTCAAGGAAAATGGTGATAAGCATGGGTTGGCCACTTCCACACAGACTCTGATCATTTGTTAAAATCACACCATACCTGACAAATTTACCAAAGTACTAATTGTAAGGAACCATACTACTTAAGGAACAATAATTCAAATGGAAAAAGCACACAAAAATAGGCCAAAGACAATTTTTTTAACCATGAAAAAGACGTCAAGTTGATGTCATGCTACAGTGGACAAAATAACTTTGAAGGTTCATACTGTGGATGTGTACATGTATGGTGTCAGTGCTTGGTAAGAGGCTTCCACCAAGCTCAAATGTACAATGGCAGAAATACATTCCATTGCTGGTCCTCTCTCACATACAAGAAAGCCTTCCCTTTTTTGACTCATCCTGGGTACAATCAGCACAGATTTCTTCTGGTTTCATAGGATGAAGAGTTGGTATTTAGTGATAAATAATACTTGAAGGTTTTCATTTTTATCCTTAAGCTACAAAAATATTTTCAATTCTAATAGAGTATGCTATATGAGAAAATAGGTGTTCCAGAAAGATTTACTATTTCTTGGTTATTTTAAGGAGTTTGGTTACATCAGTAAGTTATTTTTTTAAATATTTCTTTTGCTATTTTTGTTATTATAATTGCATTATTTCCCCCTCTTCTGTTCTTTCCTTCAAACTCTCCCATATACCCCCCCTTGTTCTCTTTTGAATTCATAGCCTCCTTTTTCATTTACCATTGTTATATACATATGTGTATATGCATTTATATATTTTACTAAACAATGACCTATCTCCAAAATATGCCCACTGGTGCAACAGTGACATGAATATTAGGGAAGTAACCAAATGTTTTTTATTTGATTTGAGACCTAATCCATGAGATATGATCTATACCTGAAGCTATTAATGAAGCCAAGAATATAATAGTAGTTATACTATGGGCTCTGGGGAAAAACTAATAATATTATTCCACTAAATGATCATAGCTATAAAACAGCTCCTAACAACATATTGCTATACTCATAGATCTATGCATAGCTTAACCCTCAATGGAATGGCTTCTTGAAGTAGATAGTAATGAACATAGAGATGTACAATTGGATAATGTGCAGGTGGTGAGACATGTTAAAGCTTAAGAATATATGGAGAAGAGGAGGTGGAAAGACTATAAAAGTCAGAGGTGGTAAATAACTCCAAGGAAATGATATTTTATACATACATGAGGGCTGATTGATGGGCACAGGAACTCAGCATTAGCCTGATGCATAAGCCCTTCAGAAGCACCATCCAGACAAAATCTCAGCATGGAGAAGCAGAATGGGCACAAAAACCTTCTCCTAACAAAGAAGTTATTTGACATTAATATTTGCTAAGGGGTAATTTCTCCGATGGAATGTCCAGTATTCCAATGGGGAAAGACTATGATCAAAATACACTGTGTATAATTAAAAAAATAAATAAATTCATTACAAGAAAAGCAGTTTCCTGCTGGGTGTGGTACTAGTGGCACATGCCAGCACTCAGGGTGCAGAGACAGACAAATCTCAGTGATTTTGAGGCTAGTCTGATCTACAAAGTGACTTCCATGACAGATAAGATTCGACAGAGACCATACCTCAACACCCCAACTCCTGCCCCACTCCCCAAAAAACAATTAAGGTAATCTTGTAACAGGCACCATCATAAAATATTTCAGGCTCTAAAAAAATACAGAGTAATTTTATCCAATACAGTAGAAATTTTTCAGCTTAGGAAACACACAGGTGAGTGAAAAATAATTCTAGATCCAGAAAGACAAAGATCACATATTTTCTCTCACTGTGGATGTTAGCTTTGAATGTTCAAATATTTGGAATATCCACAGAGTTAAAGAAGTAAGTACTGGACAATGGCAGTAGGTGAGGGAATGCTTTAAAGAAAGGGCAGAAAAATGTAGCAGTATAAAGGGCTGAAGGGAAATAATGGAACAGAAAGGGTTAACTTGGGATAAGGAGGGGAGGACAGGTTAGAGGAGGGAATATAGGAAGGGATAAATAACTTTAATGGCCTTTCAAAATTCACACAGAAAACTACTACTGTAGAAGCTTCCTAACACATAACACACAAACATAAATAACATTGAATTGCCATTTGCTGGGCTGACACTGTTCCTACTTGATACTATAGGCTAACAAATAAAAAGCCCATCTTTTGGATTTGTTGCCCAGTGAAGGTCCTATGGAACCCCAGACATTACAAGCCACTGCCAATGCTATTGATTATCCACCAGAATCTGTTGGAAAGACCCTATTGCTGAAGCTACCACATACATGAATCATTGAGAAATCAAGCTATTATTCACTGGGAAGTTTCATCTCTACTGACTAGCTTTTATAGTACTAGAAGGTAATGTGCATGCTACTAGAGGAGAAAAGTAATCATCAGTCTTATCAAGCTGTGAACCTTGAGACCTACAGCAATGACATCACTGGTAAAACATGGTCATTGCTGCCATCATAGGATTGTATTTAAGTCCTGCTCCACAAGATGAAACCCATACCTGGTACCATTATCGAGCTACAACCTATTGGCTAGACATGTCATAGTCCTTGGTGAGGAATGCACTATTATTATAATTCTGGTTAATAGACATAGTATTAAACCAATTCTTAATGACTTACAGATTAATGCATCAGAGAAGCTTCTATTTGCAGTAGATGGTGATTAATATAGAGAATCCTAACTGGCCAGGGTACAGAGAATATGAGAGACAGAAATGCTCAGCCTTATATTTGAAATCTGCACCCTCACCCCATTATCTACATCCAAATCTCATGTATTGTCTTGAAAGAGGTTTGTGGAAATATTCTAACAGCAAGATGCAGAAGGTGTCTATAAGGAAACACTGTCTTCTGGTGATAACAGGGAAGCTGCACATACTAATTCATAGAGGTTATAATAGCATGCATAAGATGAGTGGTAACTCAATCCAAACCAAATCTTAGGGAGGTAGGTACAAAGTCCCACTATTAAACAAGGAGCTACGGGCAATGGAGAGCTGCTGGGGGAGGCAGAGTCCATTTTCTCTAAAAGTGTAGCCTGTGGTAAGTCAACCACACTTCCTGGACTATACAGTCAGCATAAACTGGACTTCACTGGCTTTAAGAAAAAACAAAGGACACAAAATAAGTAGCGAAGGTCTGTATCTTAGAGGAACTGGAAGAAGAGTAGGTAAACATGTACAAAGTTTTCAAAGAACTAATGAAAATATTATTTCAATAAAGATCTGGAAGGGAAAGGGCTCATGAAATGCTAAAATTTTCTAAATCACTTTTCAAGTTTTAAAAAGTGTTCTTTTACTGTTTGATGTATCTGCTAGCTAATGATGCAAGGTGCTTGCTCTGAACCTTGCCATTGACTTGCATTCTTAAACAGATGTCACCACAGCTTAGGCTCAGGTACTTTGTTATAATCATAAGATAACTCTGTGGCATATAATA